CATACGTAAAAACCATGCTTTCTCTAGTAAGTATATGCTGGCTAGGGGCTTGTTGCATTGAAGGTTACGATTCCGTTCTCGTAAAGTGTGTCGTGGTCAGCTTTGGGTAATGAGGATTTCAATATTATAATGAGACCGTGCGTAGTGATGTCGGAAGCGCTTAGTTAAAATGTTTTTCATATTATCGACGAAAATTATGTATATTAATGTGACAATAAAAAAACTGACTTTGACCAAGCCAAAATGAAATTGACGTTTCGTCTTGAACGAAAGCATTAGAACACATTTTCCACATCAAAAAGAACTTCTTACAAAAATTTCACTCCACCCCTGAAAATAAATTCATCATATTCCATTATTTCACCAAGACTATAATTCTTGCTTTTGAACACATTTTCAACTTTAAAACAACTTTTACAAAAGTAGGTATTCCACCCCCCTGAAAATTAATTTTATCATATTTACATATTTTCATCAAAGGCTATAATTTATGCATTTGAACACATTTTCACATCAAAAAGAACTTGACAAAAAAATCGAGTCCACCCCCCTGAAAATTAATTTTGTAATATTTTCATATTTTCGTCAAAGACTATAATTCATGCATTTGTACACATTTTCCAATTAAAAACAACTTTTACTAAAAGGGATTCCACCTTGAAAATGAATTTAATCTTATTTCCATTATTTCATCAAAAAATTACAATTCATGCATTTGAACACATTTTCCACATCAAAAAGAACTTTTAAAAAATCACGTCCACCCTGAAAATGAATTTTATAAAATTTCCATATTTTTCACCAAAGACTATAATTCATGCATTTGAACACATTTTCCACCACAAACACAACTTTTACGAAAGTAGGGATTCCAACCCGTGAAAATGAATTTTATCACATTTCCATATTTTTATCAAAGACTATAATTAATGCATTTGAACACATTTTGCACATAGAAAAAACTTTTATAAAAATAGGATTCCTCCTCTTAAAATGAATTTAGTCTTATTTCCATTATTTCATCAAAATGTTATAATTCAAGCATTTAAACACATTTTCCACTTTAAAACAACTTTTACGAAAGTAGGGATTCCAATCCCCTGAAAATGAATGTTATATTTCCACATTTTCACCAAAAGACTAATTCATGCATTTGAACACATTTTCCACTTAAAAAACAACTTTTACAAAAAATAAAGTCCACCCACCTCCTGAATATAAGTTTTATAATGTTTTCATATTTTCACTATAAAACTATAATTAATGCATTTCAACACATTTTCCACTTAAAAAACAACTTTTACAAAAACAGGGATTCCAACCATTCTGAAAATTAATTTTATCATATTTCCATATTTTTATTAAAAGACTATAATTCTTCATGCATTTGAACACATTTTGCACAATAAAAAGAACTTTTATAAAAATAGGGATTCCTCCCCTCTTGAAAATGAATTTAGTCTTATTTCCATTATTTTATCAAAATGTTATAATTCAAGCATTTAAACCCATTTTCCACTTAAAACCAACTTTTACGAAAGTAGGGATTCCAATTCCCTGAAAATGAATGTTATCATATTTCCATATTTTCACCAAAAGACTAATTCATGCATTTGAACATATTTTCCACTTAAAAAACAACTATTACAACAAATTAAGTCCACCACCTCCTCCAGAATATAAGTTTTATAATATTTTCATATTTTCACTATAAAGCTATAATTAATGCATTTCAACACATTTTCCACTTAAAAAACAACTTTAACAAAAATAGGGATTCCACCTCATCCTGAAAATTAATTTTATCATATTTCCATATTTTAATCAAAAGACTATAGTTCATGCATTTGAACACATTTTCCACATCAAAAAGAACTTTTACAAATAATAGAGTCCCCCCCTAAAAATGAATTTTATCATATTTACATATTTTCATTAAAAGATTATAATTAATGCATTTCAACACATTTTCCACTTAAAAAACAACTTTTACAAAAATAGGGATTCCACCTCATCCTGAAAATTAATTTCATCATGTTTCTATTATTTCCATTATTTCCATCATCAAAATATTATAATTGAAGCATTTGAACACATTTTCCACTTTAAAACAACTTTTACGAAAGTAGGGATTCCACCTCATCCTAAAAATTAATTTTATAATATTTCCATTATTTTCATTATTTCCATCATCACAATATTATAATTCAAGAATTTGAACACATTTTCCACTTTAAAACAACTTTTACGAAAGTAAGGATTCCACCCTAGAAAATGAATTTAATATTTCCATTATTTCATCAAAAGACCATAATTCATGCATTTGAACACATTTTCCACTTAAAAAACAACTTTTACAAAAACAAGGATTCCAACCATTCTGAAAAGGAATTTTATCATATTTCAGTATTTTAATCAAAAGACTATAGTTCATGCATTTGAACACATTTTCCACATCAAAGAGAACTTTTACAAATAATAGAGTCCCCCTAAAATTAATTTTATCATATTTCCATTATTTTCATTATTTCCATCATCAAAATATTATAATTCAAGAATTTGAACACATTTTCCACTTTAAAACAACTTTTACAAAAGTAAGGATTCCACCGCCTTGAAAATGAATTTAATCTTATTTCCATTATTTCATCAAAAGACCATAATTCATGCATTTGAACACATTTTCCACATCAAAAAGAACTTTTACAAATAATAGAGTCCCCCCTAAAAATGAATTTTATCATATTTACATATTTTCATTAAAAGATTATAATTAATGCATTTCAACAATTTTCCACTTAAAAAACAACTTTTACAAAAATAGGGATTCCACCTCATCCTGAAATTAATTTTATCATGTTTCTATTATTTCCATTATTTCCATCATCAAAATATTATAATTGAAGCATTTGAACACATTTTCCACTTTAAAACAACTTTTACGAAAGTAGGATTCCACCTCATCCTGAAAATTAATTTTATCATATTTCCATATTTTCATTATTTCCATCATCAAATATTATGAATTCCA